TTTGGGCTGAAAAGGGATAACTATGAAGTATTCAACTAGACCTTCCGGACAGCTTCGGGTACAGTCTGTGCAAGTAACGAGCAGGCCACAGAAATATACAGTTGAGTCTGGGACTAGTAGGACGTCATGGTAACACTTCTCTTACGCGCCAGCACGATGCCATGAAGGCGTTATGGGGTACAACCTTACCATCGCTTCCTGATGATTTACATTCACACAGTGAGTCAACTAATAATATTATAATATACTGAAATCTCGGAGGCTTATACAGAGTGGGCACGTGACCTAGGATGAAGATGCTTACAGAAGTGTGATGGGGAAACCTCTTCGAAATGTCCACCTCGAAAGCAGAATAAGACACGTGCAAAATTCACACACATCTTAGGGCAATAAGACAGGAGTTACCAAGATCCAGAAGGATAACATAATTATTACCGCCGCGGAAACCTCAAACCTCACATAAGTTAAGATTAACAACTCTATCCATTAAATGCAACTCGTGTATAGGATACTGAGAAATTGTTTAGTTTGGAGATGAACGAGCGAATGCCCTCATGGTGGAGGCAGCAAGCACCTCTGAAACGTCGAACTTCTACCAGATTACACGGCGCCAACATCCCAGAAGACAGCCATCTTCAGACTCAGTCACCCTGAGAACATGAAATCTCGAAAGTAACAAGATTTGTGTGCCTACAAAGACCAATCAACAAAATATAACCAACGACATTTTCTGTTCTGGGGGTAAAACCATCAGCGTTGGCGTTATTATGAACCCCTGCACCAACGCAGATGTTGGTGGTGGAAAGCGTACAAAGACTAATGGGGTTTAGCTGCAGTTTTCGTACGCTGTAGCTTATTTATTTATTTAGTGTTCTGTCTGACGACAGGCCCATATGAACGGGATCCTTCCATCCTTTTCTCGGACTGGGACCTGTTCATATACGTTCTTGGCAGATGATCCAGAAGTGGTTTGCCATTGCCTTCTTCTGTGTGTGAATGGAGTAATTGTTGGGATGCCACGGAGGAAAACTCCGTGTTGCCTAGACCACGGCCTTGCCCAACACAAGTTATAAATTCGGGCACCGCCGGGAATCGAACCCGAGGCCAGCGTTCTAACCGCTAGACCACCGTGGCTGCTGTAGCTTATACAGCGTGATATGTTAGGATGATTTTGGTCAGTCGGAAGGAAGGCTGTGACCTTATTTAATGTTTTCCCGAAGAGATGAAGAAAACGTAGGGAATTCTTGACACGTGAAAGTCATCGTACAGTGCGAGAGTAGACCTCAGAACATCCTAACGCAAAGCTGCAGTCCTGATAACTACGATGAAACATTAGGCTTATATAAATAGCGCTGATGTGGTCACAGGCCCACATGCCAGTCTACCATAATCTTGTACAATCTCTCTCAAAACGTGCTGGAGTGATTAACCACCTGACGGTAGAACCGTCTGCTTTGTAAGTCCGAGAAAAGATTACAAAACGCTAAAATTATCCGTTGCGACATCTACCAGCGACGGACATATAATTAATTATATTTCGCACGATCGTTGGCATGATGGTTACATTCCAACGATCACAAACTTAACGAAGAGAGAGACTTATATCCGATAAATCTAACGCAGTCAGTTGATAAAAAAAAACTATAACATACAACAGACTGTTCATAACCAATGGCAAACAGAATTCAGACCCATAGCTTAGCACGCAAATGCATCAGCTAAATCGTGTTGTATAATTCAGTTATACAGTTTACTCAAATACAGGGTGAGCACAGAATAATACTAAACTTTCAAAATGACACACAAAACAAATGGCATGTACTTAGAACTTCACATCTACACCAGTCGATAGATGAACTCTCAAACTTTTGTTTCAAATGACCCCGCACAAGACAGTATGCTTATCCGAAATTGTGACATCCTCGGACTAGTCTACACGGGGAAGAATGTCATCGAGATAGTTATGTGTGTTTTACGAGCATTTTCAACCCTAGATTACATGTAGGAACGTTTAATATCGAATGACGCTACGCAATCCAAGTGTGTCAGATTCTAACGTCGACGGGGGTTACCCGACCGAGAATCCGAACATGACCTAACCTAACCTAATCAAACATAACAAAACAAAACCGAATTTAACTCCAATGATTCTCGCTAGTATCGCAACTGTTGACATGACATTAAAATGGCGACTCAATCCGAGAAGACGAAATCGAATTCGCACACGATGGATTTCTATTAAACTTCTTCTGAAGACGCCGATTAACAGCGGTCAGAGATTTTGTATAATGGAACTCGAGCTTTTTAGCGCAATATTAACATTCGCGCTCCTAGTGGTCATCGTTGGAGTTACGTCACTTCTCCGGCGTGCTATAAAATTTTCCATCCATCCAATGGCACTTTCAGAAGTTCTAATTTCAGCGGTCTTAAAAATATCTAATTTCTGTTCATTCTGTATAGCATCAAATTACAAAGTAATGCTGTATGTTTGTGGGGAACTGAGTACCCAGTTATTTTCCGCCTCTCTCTGATGCTGGCGCCAGAAGACAGTGGCGCCTTACCACTTGCATGTTATCAATCAGTCAGAAACTGCATACACTAGGAAGTATTTCTTGTAGCCTTCAACATATCGACCGGTTTCGCTCGGAGGCAGTGCTTATTAAATGCGCTGAAATACGCAACATTAGCGGCTAGACCGGCTTTCAGGCTCACCTAGACTTCTGTCCAACTAGTACCACGGTGGTCTAGCGGTTAGAACGCTAGCCTTGTAATCCTGGGGTCTCGGGTTCGATTCCCGGCGGTTACCGAATTTTTATAACTTGTGTTGGGCAAGGCCGTGGTGTAGGCAACACGGAGTTTTCCTCCGTGGCATCCCAACAATTACTCCATTCACACACAGAAGAAGGCAATGGCAAACCACTTCTGGATCATCTGCCAAGAACGTATATGAACAGGTCCCAGTCCGAGAAAAGGATGGAAGGATCCTGTTCATATGGACCTGTCGTCAGACAGAACACTAAATAAATAATAGTACCAGGGGGTTTCTTCCCCAGGGGTAAACTGGCCGGAGCGTGAAGCTTACCATTTACATCCATCTAGTCCTAAGGTCAATAATATGCACTTTGAATTCACTCCATACTTCTGCACGGCGTAATTCTTAAGAACCAAAAAAAAAACTATTGACCTTTCCATGCATGTCGATAAGCCATTATACCAAGAATATCGTTTTATGCTAGGGGGTCTCAACCCACAAGCGGCTCGCGTACATCATCCATAAAACTATGTTATTCTGCATGATTAAACAGTCTTGTCTGTTCCAGAAAATAATCAGTGATGTCAGTTCGCGACAGTAACTTGAGAAGAATTAAATTCATGAACTAGGACGAGACTTGGTGATAAAAAATTCTAAGGATGTATAGGAATTACGACGAAAGAAATTAAATCTGACACTTAAAAAAGATCACTGAAACAAAACCAGTGTCAAAATATCTCACTAGTAGCCCATTTTATCACAGAAAAATATCGAGCATCGAAGATGTGAACTTTTTTTTTTAAATATCAGGTCTAATTTATTAAAATTTTAATATATTTCCATGAATTTTTTTTTAAAAAAATGTACTCTTAACATCAGGGCCCTTCAGGAAGGGTAAATGTGACCCTACAAATATTTGACAGCTCCTGATTTACGTATTAACATCACATGACAGTCTAGCGACAAAACGGCGATGTAAATAATCGCTGTATGCATTAAATGGTGTAGTTTCTACCTCTGATACGTCGGTTAACTTCTATCAGACTGCACGGCGCGGTGCGGCGATCCACCGTACTAACAGCTATGAGAAATTAAAATCCCACACAAAAGCCACGAATTAAAGGCGGTAATAATTTTGAATTCTCGTATTCTTATTACAGGGCATGAAAGACTGCAGCTTACGTTTCCAGACATGTACCTCTGCAGAGGAGCACAGGAGGCCGGTTTGTGGCACTGACGGTGTGACATATGCCAGTAGATGTCACATGCAGCGGGAACAATGTCAAGGAACTCAGGTGTCTGTACAGCACCGTGGCAGATGTAAAGGTAATGGATTTTAACGAAACACTTTGGTGTGTAGAAACCCATAATTGCATCTTTGTTCGAGACCTTGGGATTCACACAAAGTTAGGACGTGGGGGACGGTAATTATTATTACCACCACCACCACCACTTCAATCAGTAGACCCTAAAATAGTCATAATTGAAATGTCAATTTAACCCTCACTGTCACGGATTATATAACAACTCGATGATTATAAGAACCTTGGAATGCTTTGTCGTAACAATTTTGAATTCGAGTTGGAACAATTTTTATATACAATTTCACAATTGGTACACTATATATATATATATATATAGATTCTTCACACACAGACACACGTATTGCACCGAATGCTAGAGCAATCACTATTATAGAATCAAATGGTCTGTATTAATTTTCATAAAATCCGTCATAGAACACATTTTATGGTACTTGTGGTTTATCGGGACACATCGATTTAAAAATAGGTTAGGTGAAATAAAATATAATAACTTTCAAGTATTTATCCACACATATTAACCTAACCTAACTTAACCTAACCCAAACTAACCTAACTTAACCTAACCCAAACTAACCTAACTTAACCTAACCCAAACTAACCTAACTTAACCTAACCCAAACTAACCTAACTTAACCTAACCCAAACTAACCTAACCTAACCTAACTTAACTTAACCCAACCCAACCTAACCTAACCTAACTTAACCTAACCTAACTTAACCTAACCCAACCTAACCTAACTTAACCTAACCCAACCTAACTTAACCTAACCTAACAACCTATTTTTAAAGAGATGTGTCCCGATAACTCACAAGTACCCATTTTACATAATAAGTGTCACATTCAATTTGATACTTTTTTTGGTTTAAAACCGAGTTAATGCGACTATATAAAGATTCTATATTTAAAATCTGAAAACAACATACAGAATAAGGCGTCACTGTATCAACTACACGTGTAATGTGATATAATGAAGTAATTATACTATAGAATTAAGCACGTTTGTAATACAAAGAAACTTTTAGCAGTTAATATACCCGTTTCTGACGCAGTTACTAGGACATCTTACAGCCAATAGTTTTTCCAGCACGTGAAAAGTGAGCTTTCGCTACACTGTCACGTGATAATATGCAATTTCCAACTTCTCAGCAACCAAGGTCATGACCTAAATATACATGCACGTGTTTTTACGTTTACGAAATAATCATTTCTAACATTTCCTTTTGCGAATGTGCACGTATATTAATACTTACTAATATTTTAAATCTTCTTAATATACTTCCAAACTCTGATTAAATAAAACTTCACTCCTAACAGCTTGTTTGCCGGAAATAGCACTTACGATATTATGTTATGTATAAAAGATAAATTGAATTATTTATTTTTAAAAAAGGCACAAATATACTTTTAGCTAAATGATGTGTAGAGATTATTTTAATGGTTGAACACCCAGTAATAACTAAGATTATTTATAGCCGAATGAGGCAATGTCGTATTTTAAATTGATTTTCGGATTTAGACTGCCTTGAAATGTCTGTGACGACGCTGACACTTAAAAAAGATCACTGAAACAAAACCAGTGTCAAAATATCTCACTAGTAGCCCATTTTATCACAGAAAAATATCGAGCATCGAAGATGTGAACTTTTTTTTTTAAATATCAGGTCTAATTTATTAAAATTTTAATATATTTCCATGAATTTTTTTTTAAAAAAATGTACTCTTAACATCAGGGCCCTTCAGGAAGGGTAAATGTGACCCTACAAATATTTGACAGCTCCTGATTTACGTATTAACATCACATGACAGTCTAGCGACAAAACGGCGATGTAAATAATCGCTGTATGCATTAAATGGTGTAGTTTCTACCTCTGATACGTCGGTTAACTTCTATCAGACTGCACGGCGCGGTGCGGCGATCCACCGTACTAACAGCTATGAGAAATTAAAATCCCACACAAAAGCCACGAATTAAAGGCGGTAATAATTTTGAATTCTCGTATTCTTATTACAGGGCATGAAAGACTGCAGCTTACGTTTCCAGACATGTACCTCTGCAGAGGAGCACAGGAGGCCGGTTTGTGGCACTGACGGTGTGACATATGCCAGTAGATGTCACATGCAGCGGGAACAATGTCAAGGAACTCAGGTGTCTGTACAGCACCGTGGCAGATGTAAAGGTAATGGATTTTAACGAAACACTTTGGTGTGTAGAAACCCATAATTGCATCTTTGTTCGAGACCTTGGGATTCACACAAAGTTAGGACGTGGGGGACGGTAATTATTATTACCACCACCACCACCACTTCAATCAGTAGACCCTAAAATAGTCATAATTGAAATGTCAATTTAACCCTCACTGTCACGGATTATATAACAACTCGATGATTATAAGAACCTTGGAATGCTTTGTCGTAACAATTTTGAATTCGAGTTGGAACAATTTTTATATACAATTTCACAATTGGTACACTATATATATATATATATATAGATTCTTCACACACAGACACACGTATTGCACCGAATGCTAGAGCAATCACTATTATAGAATCAAATGGTCTGTATTAATTTTCATAAAATCCGTCATAGAACACATTTTATGGTACTTGTGGTTTATCGGGACACATCGATTTAAAAATAGGTTAGGTGAAATAAAATATAATAACTTTCAAGTATTTATCCACACATATTAACCTAACCTAACTTAACCTAACCCAAACTAACCTAACTTAACCTAACCCAAACTAACCTAACTTAACCTAACCCAAACTAACCTAACTTAACCTAACCCAAACTAACCTAACTTAACCTAACCCAAACTAACCTAACCTAACCTAACTTAACTTAACCCAACCCAACCTAACCTAACCTAACTTAACCTAACCTAACTTAACCTAACCCAACCTAACCTAACTTAACCTAACCCAACCTAACTTAACCTAACCTAACAACCTATTTTTAAAGAGATGTGTCCCGATAACTCACAAGTACCCATTTTACATAATAAGTGTCACATTCAATTTGATACTTTTTTTGGTTTAAAACCGAGTTAATGCGACTATATAAAGATTCTATATTTAAAATCTGAAAACAACATACAGAATAAGGCGTCACTGTATCAACTACACGTGTAATGTGATATAATGAAGTAATTATACTATAGAATTAAGCACGTTTGTAATACAAAGAAACTTTTAGCAGTTAATATACCCGTTTCTGACGCAGTTACTAGGACATCTTACAGCCAATAGTTTTTCCAGCACGTGAAAAGTGAGCTTTCGCTACACTGTCACGTGATAATATGCAATTTCCAACTTCTCAGCAACCAAGGTCATGACCTAAATATACATGCACGTGTTTTTACGTTTACGAAATAATCATTTCTAACATTTCCTTTTGCGAATGTGCACGTATATTAATACTTACTAATATTTTAAATCTTCTTAATATACTTCCAAACTCTGATTAAATAAAACTTCACTCCTAACAGCTTGTTTGCCGGAAATAGCACTTACGATATTATGTTATGTATAAAAGATAAATTGAATTATTTATTTTTAAAAAAGGCACAAATATACTTTTAGCTAAATGATGTGTAGAGATTATTTTAATGGTTGAACACCCAGTAATAACTAAGATTATTTATAGCCGAATGAGGCAATGTCGTATTTTAAATTGATTTTCGGATTTAGACTGCCTTGAAATGTCTGTGACGACG